GAAGAGCGGCTGCAAATCCAAACATACCAATGAATTGGGATTTAATATACAGCCTTTTCATGACAGAGGAATGTTTCTATTCTGCTTAAAGGATCTTAATGCTTGTTTTTAAACTATTTTGTTACTGGCAGGTAAAATTGGTGACTGAGCGTCTGTGTTAACCACGTGCCATTTGTAATCCACACTGACCGTTCGTACCGTCTTTCCTGTTTGGGCTTCAGGCAGCAGCCTGAGCGGTGGTTTTGGACAGGTTGGACCACTAGCCAGGTTCTTGGTGGTTGTGCATTGATTCAAAACTCGCCCAGCTTCAGGGAAGGATTGCTTGTCCAGTCTAGCCATGTCCATCTGTCACATCTCCACCTTCGGGTGGCTTTAACTCCTTGCACTGATTTTGACCTTGGGAAGGGCGGTGGAGTGGCCCGTGCGTTTCACTACAGCAAGACATCTGTTCAATAAAGCTCTTTAGTCTTATTAAAGCCAATGAGATTGAAACATGTTCTTATGTAGTGTAGTGGTGGATGGCCTAAATTGTTGGCGGATAGGTACGTACGCGGGGAGGTCGCTGTTGATGTCTGGTGTACTGCAAAGGGCAGCTCTTCCCTGGCTCCTGAGGAGCTGCTGGGCAGGCAGGAGGGAGCTGGGGAAGGAGTCCACATCAGGAGCTGGGGCAGAGCTAAATGCCTTCTTTAGAAATGTCCAACTTTATAATTAAAATGCCCAGTGGTGCAGCGCTTTAAAAGAAAACGGAAGCGTCTCGCAACTTCACGCTTGGAGCACACAAAGTTGTTCCTGTTACTGCTGCATGTCTTGTTTCAGTGAGACTGAAGGCCTGAGTAAAGTGAGAACAAAGCTGTCTGTGAAAGCATACGCTGTGACATATTTTTTGTAAGGTGAATTTTTTTCAAGGTTAAAAAAAAAAAAAAAACAAACCCACAACACAAAACCCAGTACAATTTCTCAAGAATTTTCTATTCTGGATTTGCTATTAAGATACCTTCCCTTACATGGTATTTTCATTGGTGTTAGTGATCAGCATAATAGGTTGAAATGGAAATGTGCTTTCTTTTGGGGGATTAACTTACGTTGAAGTTCATAGGAAGGGAAGGAAAAGGAAAACGCATCAACCAACAAGTAATTCTGCATACTAAGTGCTATCGCCATCTTTTAAAAATAGACAGAAAACTTTTAAAGAAACTTTTGGCACTTTAAATAAAATGCACTGTTAGATATCCCTTCTTTAATGTATTTTTTTACCCTAACCATAGCAGTTACGATTGTTTTGAAATACTGTTTTTAGCAACTGTAATAACAAAGCATTAAAAAAAAATAGTCTTTTAACTGTTGAGGTAATGACTGAGCATTTTAGCTGCTGTAGCCGTACTTTATAGTTTGAAAAAATAACGATATGCAGCAATAAAGAGAGATTCTCAAGCACAACAAAAGCTGTTTTTATATACTGGTTTTCATTAAGTCTCACTCCTCAGCTTCGGTTTCCTTAGTATTCCTGCCAATAACAACACCTGCTAAGTGATTGCTGCCTGCCAGGCTCTGCATCTAATACACTAATGTGTCCAGGCTGAAACGGGAGAGGAAGACACAGCATTTAACAAAGTTTTAAGCCCAGCGTTAGCTTTCTCTCTCACCCTCAGTGTCAAGAAAAGGAGTCTCTGCTCCAGAGTGTTTCAGTCCCAGGAACTCAGTGCAGCAAGATCCTCAGCACCAGTTGGGACCAGAGCGGCAACATCCATGGCAGAGGAGTCACTGCCCTGCAGCAGTGGGTATGGCCCCACCGTGACACTTAGAAATAGATATAGTTTTTTTCTTTTTTTTTTTTTCTTTTAAAAGAGTTTTAGGGGCTTTTTTATGTGCAGCCACTATTGTCATGTAAAATGTTTACACAAAAAGAAATCAGACTTAGCCTTAGTGGGAGAGCCACTTACTGGAAATCTATTTTACGGGGTGAAGGAGAGGGTTACTCTCTGCCTTGTTTATATCTAAAGAAAAAAAAGAAAATGACTCAGTCTTCACCTTTAATAGGAAGACATGACTATTTCTTGAAAGGGAAGGTTAATAATAAAATCCTAAGCAGGATATTGAATGCTGAAACAATTATGGCATTTATGATTAAGTTAAAGCAGTATGAGGAAATGTTCTCAAAAACCAAAACTGAACAAAGCACCCAACAAGGTTCAGTGATTGAATTTGCAGAACTTTAGGACCTAAAACTCGTGGGGTTTGGTGGGTTTTCTGTTGTGTTTTTTTTTTCCCTTCTTGTTTTTGGGGGTTTTTGTTGTTTTGTGGGGTTTTTTTAAAGGCTGGAGGAAATCCTCCCTCCCCCCATCCCCAGTACAAACATTACAAAAACATTTAACTCTTTGGTGCAAGGGCTGTACTCTCCAGCGTACTTGGAGACTGCCCCACGTTGTGCCTTACTGCGGTGCAAGGGTTCTTGCTTGTTAAAGTGCGAACTCTGTGACTTAGGCTCCCTCCCCTCTGACAGCAATGATACCTCATCCAAAAAATTATGGTATGTGGGAAACAGGCTGTTTGCAAAATACCAACGCAAACAACTTTTCTAATCATAGTAACTTGTTTTTAAATAGAAAATGCAAACAGGGAGAAACCATGTCGAGTTTCCATCAGGAAAAGAAACCCTCCCAGCCTGGTTCCTCCCTGATCTTTGCCCTGCACAATCATCCAGGGCTGCTTTCACGTTTCTAATTGATGCCAGTATTAAGATTTAATAGTTTACCATTCAGATTAATATTTCAAGATGGCAACAAAACCAACATCATTCATAATTTGTTATTCTGCTCTAATTCACAACCGATTTTTCAGCCTTTGCGCTATGGATGCAACAAAGAAAGCAGCAGCGAAGGTCTGTGGAGGGAGCACAGCCCTCTCCTCCCTTACCCTAGCTTGTGGTTTGGTAACGGCATCGGCAGGGATCGGACCCTGGCTGGAAGAGGAGAGAGTGTCATCAAATAAAACACGGAAAAAGGAAAAACTTCGCTAGCGATCGACAAGGTCGTGTTTCATTAACTTGTTGGTTCAGGCTCGCAAATGGTCGTCGGAGGTGAAACGCAGCAGACTCGCTGCGTTCCAGCTTTTTGTTCTCTCTTTCCTCACAGACTGCAGTCATGTTTAATTTGGAAACTGGGCTCCTTTGGCAAATTAGCAATTAGAACAATTTTGTGGGAATATGTATATGTGTCATTAGTTTTCCTGCAAATTAATAGCGAGAGCAGAGGTCAGGCAGAAATTTTCCACTTGACTGCAGCTCCTCTGTTGAGATTTGGCACTTTGTTTTGGAACGGCCACAGCTGCTCAAAGCCACAGTCTTCCTTTAGGAACTGTCTTTTAATTAGTTTACCTCATAGCCATTATTACAAATATTACTGCCTCCCCTCCTTGAAATAAAATTACTGTTTCTACAAAATATTCCGGTGACATCTTGCACCACTGCACATTGATGGTGGGGTCACTCGGATGCAGTGTTTAATCATTAGATCACCTCCATAAGCATCTCCTAATTAGAGTCCTTACAATACAATTTTATCTGGTAATTAGCTGAGATTGGCTGCTTCCTCTGTAGCTTATTAGTGGCAGCCCAGCAGTGGGTGTGAATCACAGTGTCATTTGTCAAGCCTGTTAAAGCCCCCCCCTTTGCTGGTCCTCTGCTGTGTTTATTCCTAGTTGCTACCTACCCTGAAAAGCCTAAAGAAATTTAACTCAAATTCTTTAAGCAGGGAACACTGACCTTTGTGGATCCTTTCTTGCAGTTTCCTAGTAGAAACAGATTAAATGTTAAGTTTTTACACACTAAAAAAGGAAGGGGACTCTTTTGAAATGGAGTAGTTGGAGCCCTAATGATGAAGCATGAGCAGTGATCTTTCCAACAGGAGGGCCCGGCTGCCGAGCCTGCGCTAGAGACGGGCACTTAAAATTGATGCAGATTTGCTCGCAGTTACTGGACTGTTAAAATGTCCATTTAGAAACTGAGATAAAATACAGTAGATTTAATTTCATGGTGAGACCTGTCAGTTGTACTATTATTATCGTCACTGGTCCTTTTATCATATGTAATAGATGGATAACAGGGAGACATTACTATGTACATGTCCCTAATCAGTGTCCTTAAATCACGCCAGTCAACAAACGGACCGGGCTCTTGGTGGCGGCAGTGCCCGGCGCGGCGGGGGCTTGAGCAGGCACGCTCACCTCCAGGTTGCATTTAGCAGTTCACGCCGGTGCGGGAGTCTCTGGGAAATCAATACCCATATTTCACCGCCTTCCGCGATCCCTCTCTGGGTTCGCACTCTCTGGCCTCGCCACAAAGCGTTAAATATTTCCCGCTGGAAGGTGAAGTATCGCTCGTGAGCACCTGCACAGAAAGATGGGTGTTTGCAGGTCTGCTGCTCACCACCTCCTTTCCTTGGAGCGGTGCTCAAGCTGCTGGTGCACCGTCGCAGCTGTACAGCGCCGGGCGTTTGTGGCCAGGGCTCCCCTTGGCTTGCTCCGTCTCACTGTCGGCAGGGAAAAGGAATCACAATTTATCTGTTGCTCAGCTGTGCTCTTTCTGTGGGCGATGGGCTTTTTGTGTTGGTATCCTTTCTGTAATATTAGAGCCCTTTATTTTCCACTACCTTTGTTTGGGATAAATCCTATTATTTTTATAAAGAAACATTATTTGTGGCTGTTAACTCATATGAGGGATGCTAATAGGAGTTTTCTTATCTGGTTACTTTCATACGAGGAAAATTAATACAGTGCCTTATGGATAAACATGAGATGTTTGGGGGCATAGCTGAGTAGTGCGCCTTGCCTTCATCTGAAAAGGTTTCATGTCCAGCAAAAAGGAATTTTAATCACGAACAAAAGTTGTAAAATTCTGGCCCTGTTAAATTCAGTAGGAATTTTGCTACCGACTTCAATGGGGTCAGGATTTCACCAATATTATTCACAAAACCGCCTAAGGGAAGGAAATGTGGAAGTAGTCAGAGCGCCCTTTTCTCAGTCATCTTTTCTGATGTTGTAGTTAAGAGATCGGATTGTTTGTTTAAAATACTTCAGCGGGAGTGACCTATTGAGACGGAGCATCGTCTTTCAAAGGACATTGTAGGGTGAAAAGAAAGGGTCAGGGAGGAATGTGGATGCTGGTTATATAAATAGGGTTGTGTATCGAAAACACTTGAGTTGGAGCTGGGTTTGATACACAATCCTAGAGGCAGTTGTGTTTTACAGCCTGCTGTGGCAAGCTGCCATTTGTCCGGGGCTGGGCTTCGTGCAGGTAACGCTGATGCCTTCCATCCTAGGAGAAAATAAAGACTGGTGCCACTTCTGCTGGGCTGAATGCTTGCAGTATTTCATGCAGTGTGATTAATTAAATTATTCCAGTGTTAACCTACTCTGGGCTTTGCTTTTAAAATGGATGAACTGGGGGGGGGGGGGGGGCCCCAACCCGGAAAAAAGGAGAGTTTTTTTCTCCC